TGCTCTTCAAACTGTATGAATCTTAGCCTATAGCGGGTACTTGAGTCTGAATCTAGTCAGGGCTGTCTGGATTCAAAAAAATTTGTATAGTAGAACCCTAACCCTAACCGAAATTTAGCGTATTCTAAATTCAGACAGCCCTGACTAGATTAGACAATTTTGGATAGGGTAAGGTTCAGGTTAAGATAACATACAAGCGATCCTAAAGGAGAGGTCTTGTCGTTATAGCCGCCGCCGAAGATCCCTTCGCTACATTCAAAACGACTCTAATTATATATACATTCATAACCTTTTATACATATATAGTATTTTTCCTTCTCTACGTATACAGCTTTACCTTGCTGTATATGCTCTTTCTTGTCCTACTAGTACTCCTATGCTATCTCTAGTACGTCCGCTTCTACGGCTGTCTTTGTTCGTTTAGACACTACTACTCCTACCGGGTTTGTAATCTCGTTGAGAGGGCGTTTGCGCGGCGGTAGCGACGCTGGAAGAAAGCCGAGAAAGCGATGCCACTCTTGGCTAACCTTGCGGTATTCTGCCTTCCGCTCTTCGACCTGCCCTGCTGCCTCCGCAATTCTACGGGCATAGATAGAGCCTGCCGTCCATAAAGCGTGGCCCGACTGCTGGTCAAACTTAGTATCCTCGAGGCCGTAATCACGCTTAAATCCGCCGCACGGCAGGTGCTTGCGGGAGATGGCGACTGCAAGGTGACGGTAGACTGTAATACTAACCTTTAGGCCGAGCTCGGCCTGGAACTCGCGAGTCAAGACACGGGTCAGCCGGGCGCTGTCCCAGCACTCCTGTACTTCACTATATACTACTTGGCCGTTGTTCTCCGGCGCGCTTTTGCGCGTGCTCTTCGGAATCGGTACTTTGGCCCAGAGAAACGGCGAAGGATCGGCCTTGTCTCTATTCGCGACGAGGTTTAGAGTCTAGCGGAATGGAAGTATCAGCCAGAGGTAGTACACGAGGAGCTCGCCGACCTCCTTTAGCAAGTAGCGGTGGATAATCTTTGTAGAGCCAGTGATGCTGTAGCCTTTATAATACTGGGTTACCGTGCTTACGAGTCCACGGTCGATGAAGATGTTCCGATGATGCCTATGGACGGTGTTCTTGTGTCGCAAGCTCAGGAGCTCCGTACCGCGAGCAGGCTGGCCGGAGCTGAGGTGGATGAGTAGGAGAAGATGCTCGAGGAATGCATCGACACGTGCTTGGTACGCCTGCACGGTCTTCTGCTGCCACAAGGCCTTGCCAGTCTGTCCTGGATTCAAGAACTCCTCTCGTAGCCAGTCATTCTCTAGCACCCGTTCGAACAGCCAACGCTCTCGATTAGGCAGCGGACCTCGCATGTTCTCCGGATGCTGGACAAAACTCCATCCACGGCGACTCTCGACGGCGTTATCGACAAGGTGGTGCATCCGCAACGGCACGTCGAGATGTTCGCGCGTCTCGTCGGGATGCATAAGCAGCAGCTCCTCTAGCAAGCTCTGCGCCTTCGTGATCTGCCCCCGGATGAAGCCGCGGAAGGCTTCCATGTCGAGATCGCGGACGTCCTTGTACGAGACGGACTGTAGGTCGTCGCTCCAGCTGATGTAGCCCAGGCAGGTCGACGAATCGCGGATCCTCTTCCCGTACATTCGCAACCGGCTCGCCCAGTTGAAGGGCGAGCGGGTGCCGTGGATCATGAAGCGCTCCCGCATGTCGTCGAGCAGGTCGGCCGGCTGCGCAGCGTCGCCAGCGTCGGCCGCGCGGATCGCCTTCTCGATTACAAGCATCTGAGCAATCTTGATGAAGCCCGAGAGGCTGGGGGTGTAGTTCTGGGCCTCTTTGAGATTGCCCTTGCCGAGGTCGATGCCAAGAACGGCGAGAAAGCCTACGACCGCGCTCTCAAACAGGTCGCCCTTCAGGTCGTGATCCAGCAGCGCTATGCAGAGGTCGAGGCAGCTGTCGTCTACGGCGGCACGCGCGCTCTGGCGAGCCGACTCATGCTCGGCAGGCACCTGCAACAGACGGTCGATCTGCAGGAAGACCTCGCCGAGAAGGGCGGCCTGTCGGCTCTGCAGCTGGTGACGCAGCCGGATCGTCTGGCAGGGATCCGCCGCGCGGGCCACAAAGCAGAGGAGGCCTTTCCAGACGGCCTGGTACTTGCGGAAGGTCGCCTTCTGCAGCTTGATCATGAGCGGCCGGTCCGAGGCCCGCGGCCGCTGGAGGAAGCTGTTGATGCGTGCTTGGTCGAATACGTTGATCCGGTCCTGGCAGATCGACGTGTAGGCGGCGTCGACGAGCCGATCCAGACTCTGGCCTAGCGCAAACAACCCGGGCTCCGTGGCTAGGGAGGGCATCGCAGCAAGCGCGGCTAGCTGTTCAAAGGAATGCCCGGCGAGGTACTCTGGCCAGCGGGTGAGCTGGAGCCACGGCGACACTTCCTTTCGGCTCGCATTTGCGTGAACCGTCTGGCCTGCGCTCTGCCGCTCCTCGATGAGCATTGCCAGCTCGAGCCTCGCACGCGCCGCATCGGAGCCGGAGGCGGCGGGCGCCGGCCCAGCGTCCGCCGCATCGCCAGCCGAGGCGACGTTAGGCAGTCGAACTTCGAAATAGCTCGAGTACCGCCCCGTTCCAAACAGACGCTGGCAACAGACCGACCGCACAGCCTCTGCGAGCCGCTTCAGGCGCTCCTGTTGCCGTGTTGGCCCGGAGCCCCCAAACTTGCCCTGTGCGACTCCCCATCCACGGTGTGCTTTCCGCCAATGCGAGCGCATCGTTTCCGGGCTTCGAGCGACGAATGGACAGGCGCCGGCGTCGAGCTGGCAGCGGAGGCCGTCCTTGTAGCATGGCAGCTCGTGAATCAGCTCGACAGCGGCGTCTGGAAAGGTGAATTCGTCCGCACTACCGCACAGATCCAGCCAGCGCGTCAGCAGGTCCCGGGTTAGTCGGCGCGCCTCTCCCGCAAGAAGCTGATGGACGTCGGATTGGAGATGGCGGAGGAGATGGCTCGGCCACACGGCATAGCGACATCGCCGGCAGACCAAGACTCGGTACTCTACGACGTACCCAAAGCCGTCCATTACCGCGCCTAGTCGTCTAGGATCGACCTCGAGCCTGCTCTCTACTAACCAACCGGCCTAGACGGGCGTTCCTCCGCATCACGACGACGCGTCGTCCGCGGTGCCCGTAGCGTCTCCGCCGCACGCACGCAACCCTCCAGGTCCCACCCCCGTCGCGGACCGTTTCATAGCCGCGCTGCCGCTAACGGTCGAGGTAGGGCAAGGAACGTACAAACCGGACTGGCTACATACGGTCCGACGCGATTTGTAGGCGATAGGAGGGGAACGGCGGCGAGGTGGCCATATGAAAGTAGGTCGGACGGAGGTGAAGTAGCGATAGGGAGTGTTTCAGGTGAATCGGGGCGGGTTGGGGGGGCTGATACCAGTCAGGGGCTGATACCAGTCAGGAATAGTAGTGAGAGCAGCGGCCGATTATGCGCAGATCTGATGCCCGCTTCTTGCGTCGCGAAAATGTGAGCACTCAGGACGGGATCTCCATCCCCCTCGCCTTTCGGAACGAAAAGCCATTGGAAGCCCAGGTACCCTGAATAAGTCTCGCAAGACTCCTCTTCCAATGAACAGTCCCTACCGATTCGCAGGATATTGAGGTCGTCCATGAGCAGATCGGACGAGCTTGACGCATCCGAGGCAGCGGTGTAGGACGTCGCTGTATCTTCGTCCCCTCCATCCGGACTGTCCTCGGATGAGGGAGAGAATAGCTGAAGCGACTGCCCACCGGCTTCGTCGCGACCATGCAAGGAGGACGACGACACATTGCCGTCAGAGTCATTATGATCCGAAGCCGACTCTTTCGAGATCTGCATCTTCGCCATCTCCCGCCCGAAATGTCGCTGGTCCCAAGGCGTGTCGCAGTCCCAAAGCCAGGTCAAATTACTATCCTCTTCAACGCCGCACAACCGGCATCCGTCCTCGGAGAGCGGGTCGCCGTCCTCATCAAGTAGAGGCGCATTCTCGCCACTTTTCGCAGCAGCAGCTTGGCGGCGTACACTCTTACCCGTCAACGTCCATAACTCGGGAAGTCCATGTTTGGGAAACGACCAATCCGCGAATCTAGCAGTGATAGCGTACGGGCCCTCTTCGCGGTCTTCGCGACGATCAACCAACGCCACTGCACCATCCAGCTGACGTTCCGCTTTGTCTCTGGGAAGGTGGAAGTAGTAGTCCTTCCGTCGGAGGGTGCCATCTTCTGTGACCACGGGCGTTGGGTCGTTTTGGACGATGCTCAGGTAGCCGTCCCACCGATTTCCGGCGACGGCGCAGCAGGCCAATCGTGCCGTCTCGGCGTGTAACCCGCCGTTGGGATCATCTGGGGCTTGGAGGGTGAAGAGGATGTTGACGGCGTCGTCGTAGCCCGGGTGGCGGATGTTGACTATATACATATCGTTCTGCCGAAATTATTCTTATGTTGGTCACGGGAAGTACGAGAGGATACCCCTTAGGGACAAGGGAACATGGTCTCGAAGAATGAAATGGCTTTATGATCTATAAGAGCTGATAGTAGCAGACAGCAGCGTTTTCTCGAGTCAAAAGCGCGAGACGCGTCCGGTGAGGAAGTACGCACATGTAGAGCCCTTCACCGGTGTGGGGCTTTTTCAACAAAGGTGGTCGTGTCTTTCCGTACGAAGCGGATCCCGATTCGAAGCACCACCGCCAGACAAACCAACGATCAGCGGACTGCTAATAGCCTAATCCACTCCCGTGGTGAATCATTACTCGTATCGCCGGAACTCTGTATATTACCCACTTTTTTCACCCATTATAGGAACTCTCATTTTGGCAATAACTCAAGTGCAGTTGGGACGAGATTTGTGTACGCATATAATGCGGGGTATCCAGGTCCACGCGTGATACAGATCAGGTCAGATTGGAGGTGACGAATCGGAGAAGATGAATAAGTCGGACGCGACGGACAGCCCATGGAGACTTTCAAAGCGACAAAGGCAGCGAGAGTCATTGAGAGAGGCAGAACACACCTACATTCTGCCCGACCATGAGAGACCTTTTTAATGACGATAATTACACACACGGTCGCCGATATCATTTACACTACGTACTGCCATCCGACAATGCATATACAAATCCCTCCGACCAACCACACATCCATCCTCTTTTGATTCCCCAATCACACCTCCTTCCACAATAGAACTTCTTTCTTCATCCCAATAACAACGGGAAGATGAAGCCGAAGAAGCAGGATGATGACCATGGCCATGATGATGATAAGCCGGCTCAGTGTGATGTGATAGAGCATCGGCGATTTGCCAAGGGATGGCAAGGGCTCATGCGCTGCTGCCCGTCGTATCCTCCAACCACTTCGCTTTTTGTGCACCCCAGATGTGAGGTCCGGGTGCCGTGGTGCACGCGTACCATACATGATTTCTCCCCAAGGCCTCCGGGACAGTTTCGACCGCGGCATCCACGAAGGCAAGGTCATGCGCCGTCCAATGCACGTCCGGCCAGCGCGCAATCAGATGCTAAGTCAACTGCCGTGCTGATACCGCGCAAAGCCGATAGTCACTTCATCGGAAATGGCATGGCAAAGCGACATCGCCGATAGACTAAGACTTGATACCCTGCCAAGTATGCAAAGTCTTCTGTTTCCTAGATCGTCTTGAGTTGACTCTGGGCCATCTATATCAGACCCTGTTGTGCGGACACGCTCTTTCTGGATGCGCAAGAACGACACGTCCGCTCTGCTAGTTGCATCCTGAACGCCAGGCACGCGGCCACTAGAGGAAGCTGTTAATGCGCGCTTGGTCGGACACGTTGCTCTAGTCCTAGCAGATAGACGTGTAGGCGACGTCGACAAGCTAACGCGGGGAACCCCAACGCGGTCCATACCCCAACGCGGTCCACAATTTTGAACACAACAACGCGTCAACTTCAACACGCAATGGCTACACCAAAACGCGTGCAATCGTCCCTAAAAGAGGGGAGTCTATTGCTTGCGATGTCAGCTGTCAGATCAGGTGCCAGCCGCTCCGTAGCAGCGGCAGCGAGAGACTATAAGGTCTCAAAAACGACGTTGCTCCGGAGACTCAAGGGAATCCCCTCTCGAGAAGATTGGAAGCCAGGGACTCTGAAGCTCAGTCCTATTGAAGAGAGTGTCCTTGTTCAAGACATTCTTCAGCTGGATTCACAAGGGTTATCGCCTACAATCGCCCTGATTGAAGCAATAGCAAACAGTATATGCAAAGCCAAGGGTGTTGCAGCAGTCGGCCAGAACTGGACAAGGAAGTTTATCAAACGCTCTCCTATCCTTACAATCAAGCTTGGAAGGACCTATGAGTGTCAGAGAAGGCTCTGTGAGACGCCGGAAGTCATTGAAGCCTGGTTTGCCCTTGTCCGGAATACAATCAACAAGTATGGCGTCTTAC